GTGTGTGTGTGTGTGTGTGTGTGTGTGTTAGTGTTACAGTGAGAGAGCGCCAACAAATGTTCAAGCAGACTCTTTCTCTGCCAAAGCAATCAAAAATGAATGACACCCTCCCGTCTATCTCTCCCTCGGTCCTCAAAGTTGTGGTGTGTGTGTTTTCAAGCGTTGAAGCGGAGTGGTCCTCGGGAACACAAAGAGGAGAGCTGGAATCACGTCAGTTTAAACGCTCGTGAGTTTCAGGAGAAGTAAGAGTATTTTTTTTTCCAGTGATGTTCAGATGTTGAGTCAGTGAAGAAACTATGTACATGTGTAAAACATTTGCAACAATTTCAACTGAAGGCAAATATGTTTGATTTTTATTTCCGTTCAATATCGTTCTTGATGACTATATCCTCTTGTTACAGTCTTATATTTGATGGTGAAAGGCCTCTCAACCGGAGGCTTTTGTATGTGAAAAACGACAAATGTTCCATGATACATTGTTGTGTATCATATTGTGATTGTGTTGTACATGTCAATGGGTAGCCACACGACATGTTAAAACAGCATTAACTGAAGGGGATATTTTGTACTTGTGCATTCGTCTGTATTTTGAATCGATCTGAAAAGCTGAACGGGGATTATTGATATCTTATCTCTCACACATCAGGCCTTTATGCGCACAAGCATTAACTCATGTGACGCATTGTGTCTTGATCACGTTGACGTCACTCCCAAGTAAAATACGCGCAGTGACACGCATACTCAAAAAATCCCAGACCCGGGTGAATCCGCTTCGTCATTTCAGACTACTTCCTGTCAGTTGAGGCTTAATTAAAAGGCCTTCAAACCCATTTGTTTTCGCCTGAAATCCAGAAGCAGAGCCTCAGGGATTTCAGTGAATATACCTGACTGGATTGAATGGGATGTCTTCAACATGACAAAAGAAATGATACATTTTTCTTCTATCTCTGTACCGTCAATGAGATTTGTGTTCAGTGCAGTTCTGTCAATGGCGGAGAAAACACATAAAAAGAAAAACCACAAAACCAAAAGAAAATTGATTAAAAAAATAAATAAATCAGACTTCTACTGACAGGGTGTTTTGTTAGTATGTTTTTGTTTTTTATATTAACTGTACAGTTCAATCTTGGGTGAAAGGTGAAACAAAAAAAGAAGAAGACACTCTTGGGATATTTTTCTCTGTATGTGTTGTACCTGTTACTGCTGGTACTGTATCTGGTATTCTGGCTCTGTCTAAATCACTGGGACTCTGTAGTTCTTCTTCACACTGTCGTATCCTGAAAAAGGCATTTCTCTGGTTTTCTCAATGATGGCAGCAAAGTTTGTCTTATTTAAATGGATTCTACCACTTTTTGTTCTTATTGATATTATACTAGTGTATTAGAAAATTACTTGGCAAAAAAAAAAAAAGAACTGAAAATATGTTGATGCAAAAGCTGAAATAAACATTGATTGATGTACACAGTTGAGAGCTAAGTTTCACTGGTCGCTTTATATAGAATTGTGTATAATAAGTGCAAATCAGTGTTTCATGTGTGGGGATTATTACCTTCTTGTTTCAGAGCCTCTATATCAACGACCATTTTACCAGTTGTTCCCAGGACGTTTTACTCTTAATAATACAGACAAAGTTATTTACCACAATAAGTTATGCTGTGTAATCCTGTACCTTGAATTTACACAGATAATGGGGTGTCCTCCATATTTGCTCATCATAAAGCCCATCGGTGAAATGTAACTAAGTGTATTTACTCTACTAGTTTACTTATTTAATGTTATTTAATGCCTCTTAAGTGAAATTGATTGGGAAATACATCACAAAATTTACCTAACAGTAACAGTTACTTTTCAAAGTAGGATTTCATGTGCAAGACATATGGGCTTTATGAATGTTATCTATTGTAATTACAGATTGCATCATGTAACTGTGCATAAAACGTTCAACATCTCAAAAGTAAGATACTACTAACACAATAATACATCAGCCATAATATCAGATACTTCACTCTCATACTTTCTCTTTTGTAAAATTTACTTTCGGACATTTATCTGTATCATTAGTATAACAACAATTATAATCATATTATTGTTGTAATTATTATAATACTATCTAGATTATTAATTAATAACATGCCACACCCACAATAAGAGAGTCAGAGACACAATCAGAAAGCCGAGAGTTTAACTTCCGGGTGTGCGTCCAATCAGGTTTTCGTTCAGGAGTCCCACTGCTCACTGAGCCAATCCGATCCAGAATAGTGTGGAGGGGTGACCAATCGGATCGCTGTGTTACGCGTCGTCGTCCCGCCCCCTGCTCATTCAGCAGACGGAGGAGCTCCTGTCAGTCACCACCCGTCTCACGGAGTTGTCCCTGATGGAGACAGGACGAGCGCCGCTCTCAGACTGACCCCGGTGCATCTGGACGCTCTGAACAACAATGGCGAGTCTTTGTGTCAGAGCTGAGTGAGAAGAGGAGCTCCTCCTCTCAGCGGCAGAGTCAGAGAGTCTCCCCCCGGCACGGTGATGTGTCCCCGGCTGTGTTCGTGGCTGCTGCCGCTGCTGCTGCTGCTGTCCTGCTGCCTGGACGTGTCCTCACATGAAGTCCCCGGGGCCTCGGTCCTCAGTGCCGCGGACACTCTGGTGTGGGGACCGGGACTGGAGGCCGACGTTGTTCTCCCGGCTCGGTTCTTCTACATCCAGGCGGTGGACAGCTCCGGGCGGAAGTAAGTCACTCTCAGGCCCAGTGCAGATCTGTTGTTGGAGCCATAACTTTGACTTTTCCGTTGTGGCAACCTGGATGTCACTGCTCTGCTTTCAAGAGCTCCACGTAGCGTCTGACTGGAGATGAGCAAAGTTAAACATGTATTATATAGATTCATATAATCTCTGCAACTTTGTTTACTTGAGTCAACAGACAAAGTTGGACAAATGGCATATCCATTATTGATTGAATGAATAAAGGAGACATTAAGGCACAGTTCTGTCAAGACTTCGTCATCAATGTTTGTTTCTATGAGGGCTAGATTCATTTTTTTATGAATGGTGACCCTGAACTGCAAAACGTCAAATCACAAAACACAACAGAAAATACAAAAATAATACAGAACAACAAGAAAGGAAACACAACAGCAAATCACAAACAACAACAGAAAGTCAGAAAATAAATCACAATAGCAAATACAAACAGAAAACAACATGACAACAAATCACAATGGTATTAACTTCTAAAGGTAAAAGAACATACCTGCTACCAATAAGGCTTGTCTCTGATTGGATGGATGTACTCTGTCTTTTAAACAGTAAAGAAATGCTGATTATATTTCTGATTTGTCGTTGCAAATGCGATTTGTTATCAACTTTTGTGATTTGCACTTTAGGGCCACCATACTTAACCTGGGAAACTAAATGTCCTCTAATGTTGCACACACTTTTCCGAATGCAATTTTAAATGGTTCTCATGTGGGCTTGTGCTGTCTCTGAGACGTCCCGGTTGCAAAGTGTCAAGACGGGTGGAAACATAACCTCCCTCCAGTTCTGATGAGACAGGTCACTGTTACAGAATCTCTATTAACAACTCAACACAGCTCGATTACAAAGAAAGTAATCGTAGACGTAAATCTTTGAACCGCGCGTGGTGTAGTGTGAAAGATGAAATGTTAAACTAGTCGGTAATGGCTAGACATGAAAAGTCTGCGCCTCAGGCACAAAGATGTTAGAGAACCTCCAGTGACCCCTTTCATCCAAAAGCTGAAGGTATCCCACTCCATGCATAGTCACTCAGTGGGTGTCACTTTCACACGTGCTTTGCCATGAGATTATATCAGCAGCAACATACACTGAACAACAAAAATGAACACAACACAATAAAGGTTCAGCACAATAATGATCCTAAACAGATCTACAGCTCGACCAATACAGATTTTTGGTGGCCGATTGTTATTATTTATACAATCAGATGTATCCCATCTGTCATACCCATCTGCACATTCCAGCATGCCAGGTTTTTCCAGCTCTTCTCCTAACAGGAGCTCGTTCTCCATGTTCTTTCCCTCACAGTGTCACAGCTTCCCCTGGTGAGAAAACCTTCGACGTGAAGATTTTGTCTCCGGTGGAGCAGTTCACCAGGATTTGGATCCAGGTCCTGGATCGTCGTGATGGGTCATTCCTGGTTCGATACAGAATGTACGCCACCTACACAGACCTTCACATCCACGTTCTGCTCAAGAACAAGCATGTCGCCAAGTCGCCGTTCATTCTCAAAGGTAGAACACACCTCAAGCTGCTGACAAAGTACGTTTTGATTTGGAATTGTCTGGATCTTTTAGGTCACAATAGAAAAGCTCATGTTCCTGCATGTGAAAGATCTTATTGCTGTTTCTGTGTTTGTCCTCCACAGGCCCAGTCTACCATGAGGTCTGTGACTGTCCCCAGCCCAGTGGTTCTGTATGGGAGGCCCACATGCACTGTCCTCAGTCCTTCCCCCAGATAGACAGGGACCTTTCTCTTTACGAGAGTGTTGACCCTGATCGTAACGCTGAGGAGATCCCACAGCGCTTTGGACAGCGGCAAAGCCTCTGTCATTATACCATCAAAGACAACAAGGTACACAACACCTGAGACACCAAAACCACTAAAAACAGACAAACTAAGCAGCAACATCAGCAATAAACATCCAAATCATCATGTTAGAAATATTAAATGTGCATGAAATATTTCTCGCCGTAAATATGGCTCAAAAGATGCTGATACATCAGCGTTTGGGTTGAGTGAAGGTGTCATTAAAAAACAACGTCTGGTACGAAACACCAAGTGAGTGGTGATATTTTATTCTTAGCACAGTTTGTAAAGTAATGTAATGATTTATCTGTAGTTAAATTAACAGTGAAGAAGTGAGGTCCATTAACACATTTGTCATTTTACAAGAAAATCCCCAGTTTGCCTTTTAAATAGACAGAGGATAGTTAAGTAGAGTAATAAAGGGTCGTGTTTCCTTGGGCTGAATAGTAGTTAGGGACATAGATTAATGTGAAGTCGGCCAGGAGAGCCTGAGGCTGTGCGACACACCTGTAAGAGCAGCGTGTTATCCCGTGTTCAAGCGTACAATCTTCTCAAAATACCACCGTCGATCCAGGTGGCTGTAACAGTGATATGTCTAAACCTTATTCACACAGTGCTAACATTATCTGGACGTATTAGTAATCCGTTGTCAATCATTCCCACTCCCTGTTTGTCATTTCTGCGTTATGTTTCTGTGTTCCTCATTATTTGGTTGTTATTTCTTTGTATATCTCATTGGGAACAGGGGTGTGACAACAGAGTAGGCAAAGCAGGCAATTCCCTGGGGCCCATGAGAAAGGCTCATCAGTCCACAGCAACAACAACCACCTTAAATGTTATGATCTGCTCTGTACATAAAACCGTATTGGTTTGGTTCAATATAGGGGCCCCCAAGTCTCCTTTGTCTGGGGCCCATACAATCCATGATTGTGAATTAAGTCCTGTGATACACATTTGAGTTTCTTCTTGATAACTGAAATACTAGTCTGACAAAACTGTTTTGTCTGAAGCTTTCCTGAGCAGGTGACGGTAGCTCAGCTGTTATGCTGATGGATCTGTTGACATGTTGGTTCAGTAGCTGTTATCATTTTATTATAGGACTTTAAATTTGAATTAGTCTAAAGTTAAGCATTAAAAATTAATTCCTGAGCCCTAATGTGTTAATTTTATGTTCTTATAACTTTTTTGAATTTGCTTCAGGTTTACGTGAAAACGTTGGGAGAACATGTAGGTTTTAGGATCTTTATGGATTCTATCCTCCTGTCACTCACCAGGAAGGTAAGCTCTTCTTTAGCAGTATTCAGACATTTTTATTCTCCACACACCTCATGATAAGTTTTATTTATCATTCCATTCTTGACTATTATCTTCCACATAATTTAATATATTTAATTAGGCGGTTGTAGCATTATATATGAATTCAAAGTCTTTAATAAGGCACGCACAGTATCTCCTCTCTTTTGAGATATTTTTCTCCTAATATTGTTTTGTAATGACTGACACTTTCCTTCACACGAACACACACCAGTTTTCTTCTCTGTATTGTTGTTTGTGTGCAGGTGCAGCTCCCTGACATTGAGTTTTTTGTTAACCTGGGTGACTGGCCACTGGAGAAGAGGAAACCAGGTGACAAGCTCCATCCCATCTTTTCTTGGTGCGGCTCCAACAATACTAGAGATATTGTCATGCCCACGTACGACCTGACTGAGTCTGTCCTGGAGACCATGGGAAGGTAAGTGTCCAAAAAGGAAATTATAAAGCAATTTTGATTAAGCTACATGATTCATTTACTCTATAAAAGTAAAAGTCGACACATACTGAGGAACTTATGCAAATCAACTCCCCCATCACCACCTGTAAGTACAGTGAACAACCATTTTCGAAATAGTCGGCAAAAAAAACCTCAGGAATGTCATCCGGAGAGTCCACCATAATTCTTACAAGTATAAAAGAATAAAAAAACAGGTTTCCAAAACTTGAGCTTTTTCCTTCATTGAGCAGAGGATCTGCAGTCAGGTGGGATTCATTCCACAGTGGGTTCTAACAGTGACCCTGTGTCACAGGGAGCTTATACGACAGTAATATTAAGATTCTGTGGACATTTTAATAATACATTCTGTATTTTTTTCCCGGTTGGTTTGGTAGATTTGATAAATGAACTTGTTCAGGACAATCTGATATGAATATAAACTTAGCTTGTCTATAAATACAATAAAAAAACATTGAGTCTTTCAGTATCTAGTTCTTAAGTCAATGTTATGAAGGTTTTTAAATATCTTTCTTTAGCAGGTGACAGTGTGGACAGGCCTGTTCCCTGACTCCGCCACAGTGCAGACAGAGTAATGAAACTCAAATAAACCTGTGTCAGGATGCTCATTATTTTCTCTGCATGCCTCTCTGCTTGTATAAAGCCTCATGCATTTTTATGAAGTGTGAGATGGCTGATTTGTGCGTGACAAAAACTCCCAGCAAACCCAGACATAGCCTGGATTCAGCCCTGCAGAAAGTCTCACCCTGTATTGACACCAGGGTTTTATTTATATACCTGTATGAAGACATACATTTAAAGTTCCAGATGCTGATATGAATGAATGTGCCAGATTTGACTTTCATCATTGTGTCCACCCAATCAACAGAGTAAGTCTGGACATGATGTCAGTTCAGGCCAACTCAGGGCCGCCGTGGCCAGAGAAGAACACCACGGCCTTCTGGAGGGGGAGGGACAGTCGTCAGGAGCGACTGGAGCTGGTCAAGCTATCAAGGGCTCATCCTCACATGATAGACGCAGCTTTCACCAACTTCTTCTTCTTCAAGCACGACGAGAGCCTCTACGGGCCGCTGGTCAAACACGTCTCATTCTTTGACTTTTTCAAGGTAAGTGCACCGTTATAGCTGGCAGTGTCTTCTAAAAAATAAACCTTGAAGAAACCCAGTCTGCACAAAAAGGCAGGAGGCTCAGGTGAAGCAGTGTCTATGATAAAGACTCACATTTTCTTCTGGACAGATCTAAAGGTCCAGTTACTTGTTGTCAGAACACACATCTTCAGATAGGTTTCCATGTAGCTCTAAATGTTCCCTCGCTACTCTAACTAGCACTGATTTTTTAAATTTGTGTTCCATGTCCACCTCCAGTACAAGTACCAAATAAACATTGACGGCACGGTGGCAGCGTATCGGCTGCCGTACCTGTTGGCAGGAGACAGTGTGGTGTTAAAGCAGGACTCGGGCTACTACGAGCATTTCTACAATGAGCTGCGACCATGGGAGCACTTCATCCCAATAAGGGCGGACCTGGGAGACCTGCTGGAAAAGATCCAATGGGCCCGTGACCACGATGAAGAGGTGATGATGATTATTCATTTGGTTTTTAATACCATTTGATCTGGTATGAATTTTTTGAGGGGATACTTATTGGCCTCGCTCTTCTGTGTTGTGATTAAAAAATGAAGCCAAGTCCTTCTGATTCTTCTTTGCAGGTAAAGAAAATTGCACTGGCAGGTCAACAGTTTGCCCGCAATCATCTTATGGGAGACAGTATACTTTGTTACTACTACAAACTTTTCCAGGTACAGTACTACAAGAAAGTTCTTACCCCTCTTCCTCATCACACAATCATCCAGGGCTCGCAAATATATTACGTTGGTGTTGATAAATAATATTTAAGTTATTCTGGATAAAATAATTTCACATAATTCAGAAATATGTTTTAATAAGGTTGTTGTTATCATGATGAACTGCCTCTGCCTGTTGTATTTCTCTCTGTGAGTTCAATTTTCTTCTTGAAGGCATATGCCAAACTCCAGGTGACTGCGCCTGCGGTTCGTAAGGACATGGAGCTTGTAAAGCAGCCGACTGACGACCTGTTCCCATGTTACTGCCACAGGACGAGGGTAAAGGACACAGATATGTTTCCCTTGCATCAAATGACTTTTATACATTCTCCACCTAAAATACTGCAGGTTGCACCTAAAGGTTACTCAAACAGAGTTTTGTAACATAATGTATATACATCACTCCTAATTCTAACGTCCATGTTTTTGTTTGTTTTTTAGGCAAAAGATGAACTTTGATGGACCTGTCACTTACAGAGAAGTCCTTCATATCTGATATAGTGCCAAATAATTTGTACAAATGTGGATTAATTGTATGAATGAGTGATGTTGATAAATATCACCTTAGGTCATCTTTTTTAAATAAATGTATTTCTTTTTTACATGTGTATGTTTTTTTATCTGCTATTATATTACACACTCACACACATTCAGAAAGGCCTTATATCAATTTCAATCAAAGTATTAGACAATTGTATTATTTGATATCTATAGATATCAGCCATTAAGTTGGTTGATATCTACTCTACTGTTATTTGCATCTCTTTTTTTTCTGTTCTCTGTCATTACCCTATAATGTACACTTACCATGCTTCACATGGGCTGTCAACATTATTCCTGATTTCTCTGTATACTGATATATAGATAGATAGATAGATAGGTAGATAGGGAGATAGATAGATAGATAGATAGATAGATAGATAGATAGATGTGTTTTTTTCCAATGAAAAAAAGTCGTACATTGAAGTTGTAAAAACTACTCCCAACCGCTAGATGTCACTAGTCAGCAGCCATGTCACGAGGTATCGCAGAAGCGATGGAGAAGTTTGTGGAGGTAAATATGAACTTTCCATCTTCTAAAGTAAGAGAGACACGATCGTGGTACAACACCAACTTTAACTCTCTGTTGCAGTCGCTGTTTAGTTTAGGTAATGTGTCAAACTGCGTCATTCCCCATAAGAGACATGTGTTAAAGCTAAATGTCGCTGTGGTGGACGCTGCCTCTTGTTTCCGGTGCAGGACACAGTGAAGGTGCAGGTGGGGACAAAGTGTGTGGACGCCGCTGTGTGTGTCCCTGCCTCAGAGACACGTGTCCGCACCGCTGTAATCCTCACACATGGAGCCGGTGGAGACATGCACCTCTCTCACCTCGTGTCTCTGGCTCACTCTCTGGCCTCAAGCGGCTTCATCTGCCTGCGTTTCACCTGCAGAGCCTTAAACCTGAGCTACAGGGTGAAGGTGTTCCACGCTGTGTGGGTGAGGGGCTCCGTTCATTCAACAGGCACTGTTTACATCCTCGTTCTGTGGGAATCTGCAGGAGTAAGATGTGGTTTCCTCTTACAGGACTATTTGAAATCACTGCAGAGGTTTAACATCAAGCACATATTCATTGGAGGTGGGTGATACACAGTGTTTTATACAGTGTGTGTGTGCGTGTGTGACTTTGCATTACAATTAAAGATTTGTACCCTTACTGTACAAGTTAAACTGAAATCAATCTGTTTGCTAGGCAATCAGCCCCCCTTTAAAAACACATTTAAATGTACTAATGATATTAATAATAATGATATCTTTGTTTATATAGCTCTTCTTAAAATAGTGTTGCAAAGTGTTTCACAAATAAAAGACACAAGTACATACAAATTAAATGAAAACAATGAAAACAGCATGCACCGCCCAGTACAAAAACTAGAATTAGGTAGAATCAGGGAATTCAATATGATAAAAGAAAGTTTTCAGCTTTGATTTTAAGGAAGTTACTGACTCACCCTGCTGTATTCCGTTGGGTAGGCTGTTCCAGAGCCTTATAGCTCTTATTTCAAAATCTCTGTCCCCCTGGTCTTTAGCTGAGAATCTGGAGTTAAACTGCCAGAGGATTTCGAAGCGTCAGCCGGGTTGTAGATCTGCAATAAACTGAGGAGTCAGACCGAAACGTAATGTCCTTTTTCCCTAACTCATCTTTCCTCCAAGTTTCGTGGTCATCCATCCTGTGGTTTTTGCGTAATCCCGATAAGTGTCTTATAAACAGACAAACAAATGCAGACAGAAACAGAACCTCTTCGGTGGAGGTAATAATAAAACCAACAACTTTTAAAGCCAATCAATGAAATTCACAATTCCCATTTTAATATTTTGTGGGTTCACTTGACAAGATCACATATTGTCTGAAAAACGTAATATTATGCATTAAACTCTTGTGTTGCGGCTGTTTGGGATTTATTCTCTGTATAACGTGTCTGTCTCCACAGGCAGGTCAATGGGGAGTCGTGCCGCTGCAGCTTTAGCCCGACAGCTGAGTGAGGGAACAGAGGGAGCGGTGCAGGGTGTCATCTGCCTGTCTTTCCCTCTGCACCCCCCAGGACAGACACACACCCACCGCCAGAGGAGTGAGGATCTCAGGGCGCTGCCAGAACACGTGCCAGTGCTGTTTGTGTCAGGCACCGAGGACAACATGTGTGATAAGGTGAGTTTGCCTCCACTGTTTTAAATGTGCATTATATGGACAAAAGTAGAGGGACACACCTCTTAATCATGGTATTCATGTGTTTCATTCAGTTCTATTGTCATTGGTTGGACTTGTCCCTTAATGCTTCAGCTTACCAAGACGTTTTGGACAATTCTATGCTTTCAACTTTGTGGGAACAGTTTGGGGAAGACCCTTTTCTGTCCATGACTCTGCTCCAGTGCACAAAGCAGGGTCCATAAAGTTTTGACAGGCCAGCACGGAGCACTGACCTCAACCCCATCGACCCTCTAGTCGAACGTCAGTGTCTGACCTCACAGACGCTCTTCTGGATGAATGGGCAAAACACAGAAACACTCCAAAATCTTGTTGAAAGCCGTCCCAGAAGAGTGGAAGCTGTTATGGCTGCAATATGGGACCAACACCATATTAAAGCCACGGATTTGAATGGGATGTCATAAAAGCTTCTGTAGGTGTAAGAGGTGTCCCAATGTCTTTGTCCATAGAGTGTATGTATTTTTTTGTCTTTATTTTAAAGTTGTAGATATCATTTGTTGGTGGGCAGTGGAAAATCCAGTCCTGTAATCAACTGCATGAATTGCAATTTAAGAAATGCTGTTTTCTGATTAATCCACAGTTGTAGCTTGTGCAATGTATTTTGTGCCACAACAATGATTTTGCTTTCTGTCTTTGCTCAGGTGCTTTTTGACACGATGGTGACAGAGTTAAAAGCTCCAACTGAGGTTTACTGGGTAAAAGGAGGCAGCCACGGGCTGTCAGTGAAGGGCAGGTCAGAGGAGTCTGTGATCGATGAAGTCAACTTACAAGTCATTACCTGGATAAGTAAACAGGAAGCACAGATTAGTTAATGTCATGTTTGTTTAGATGTTTTTGTTGAATTAAGTGTATTTGTCACAGAGAGTCTTTTGTTTTTCAGAAATTTCGTAAAAACCTCATGGAGATATTATTTAAATCAACCAAAACCACATTTTTATTACCTAACAAAACAACTTTTTACATTCAGCCCTTGTACCTGGACATTTGCATCTGACCTCAGTGGCTCATCTACAACTCAATGAAAAGCTCCACAAGAAAGTGACTTTAAAAACTACAACAGACTTTCTTTGACAGTTCAAGTAAGTTTAACAAGAAATTATGCAAAGTGGTAAAATGCAGTGCAGGTGTCTGGTTTAAAAGATGTAATACACAGTTTTCAGTTTAAGTTGCCTGTCAAGGAAAATATGATGAATAATCAAGTAACATTTCATATTGTGGTGCTGCTGTTGATGTAGATAGGAGTAGTTCACGGTGCCAGTCATCAGTGCATTATATACTTTTATTTATATGAAATAATATTTCATTAAAGTAACACATTTATATCAGACTGCATTGGTTGATTGATTGTATTGTGAAAATAATTTACAAATTTAAACTGATCTAAAATAAAGTAGTAGTGTCACTGATCAAGTTGAGGCTCTTTCGAAAAATGCAATCAGACTCAATCTTCTAATATATGAGACTAGACTTGGTCGATTAAGAAATGTTGGAGGGAATAATTGTTAAGTATTTTATTTTAAAATAAATATATACTTCCAGACTTTCCAGGTTCATGTCTGATAAATATCTTTTTATAAAGTCACAGACAATAAACTAAAAGGTTGATTGAAAAGGTTATGCACTGGGCTCAACCTACACCATAACATAATTCAAGGAATGATGGAGCCAATAATAAAAATGAAAGATACAGTTCAAGCTATTTTAATTTGTGGTGTTATTTAGCTTTTGTTAATAAAGATAGTTAGAATAGATACACATATTATTTGTATTATTATTATTATTATGTAAGAACTGTGCAGCACTGTAGGCACCTCAGCTTTTGCTTGGACCAGCATGCACCTTGGGGTCTATGATTTTTTAAGAGGCAGCAGGAGTCATGATGTCATTCAAGGATAAATAAAAGGATAAATAACCCAGAAGAAAAGACTGTGGACGATGGACACAAGCAGTGTATGACGTCAACTTTGATTTTGGTTACAGACTATTAGAGATTCGGGTAATTTGTACTCAGCCTGAATGATACCAGCTGAAGTTTTACTCTGGAAGTCGGTCCAACAATGTCTCCTCCATCCCTCTGGATGATGCTCGGCTCATCTCTGAGGCGCCATCATGTGAGGATTAGATGTCAGTATGACAGCGCCCTCTGCTGGGGATTTGAGGGGAGTCATCCTAGGATCCTGCAGAGTCAAGAAGTCACCATCCCTGTCCTGTGTTGCCATGGCAGCCAGGAACATCTCCCTCCTGTCTGCAGCTGCCACTCAGCTTTACGGAAGCAGCACGGTCCTCAGTTTCTCTGGATGTATATTCTGCAGACAGCTGACCCACCCATTCTCCTCCCACAGGTCTTCATGAGCTGACTGGACCTCGATGATGATGATGAAACATCAGCTGCTTATTAAAGGTCCAGTGTGCAGAATTTGGGGGCAAAAATAAGAATAATATCCATTAATTAACATTTTTTTCATTTGTGTAGAGGACTTTGGCTTTGGGTCCGATTTATGATAAACTGATACATTTTTTTTGATGTAGTTTTATCTCAGTATTTGAAATGATGAGCAATAGAGAGAAAAAGTTAGAGGTTTTCTGACAGATTGTTAAACTACCAATAATGAGAACAATATTAACATGATTAAGTAGTTAGAATTGGAGAGGGTTAGACCTGTTCAAGATTTATTTCTGTATATTATAGAATATAGTTCAACATAGGCTAACTTCTTAAAAAGGTCCAGATACATTTAGTTCATTAATTCTACTACTACTAATAGCAGTAATGTAATTAAATCCACAGCAGCCACAGGAGCAGCTAAGATTAGTCTGTATTGTTTTCCAACATTTTTTTCTCGATTTCTCAGACAATAATTGATGGATCTTGATGAAAAAAATCTGACCTGTTAAGAAGACTGAGATTTACGACTTTAATCTACTTTAGTTTACTCTACAGTGCAACAGCTCCTTATCCTGTGACACCGACATGCTGATTTCCCCCTGTCTGATTAGACTGTTACGTCCAAGAAAAGATGAAGAGAGACAAAGGAAAAGGAAATTGGGCAGACATAGCAGAGGGACGATTAAAGACTGCACACAATACTCTGGTCCCAATATACACAGATGGGTCAAAGGAGCCAAACAATATATAAAATATACTTTTATACAGTAGAGATGTTGGTAATACAGTGGACAGAGCAAAACAAGACAGAGGTTATAGTATGTTTAAATTCACTATCAGTATTGGTATCACTACAATCAGTGTCATCCCACTGCAGAGCAAATATTCCTTATGAAATATATAAAACACTTTATAGACTGCATCATTCACTAACTGAAGTCAGGTGTGGATCCCAGCTCACAGAGGCATTGTGTGAAATGAAATGACAGACTCACTCTCAAGCATTAAAACAGGAAATAAGTGCGGAGGTAACATTCAGTAAGGCTGAAGCCAAAACTAGAATTAGAAGTAGCATCATGACTGACTGGCAAAAAACACGCTGATCCACACTCCAGCCTGGTAGGTGGCGGTAATGCACCTTCAACGTTCGGTGCCACCCGCCAGGAAACAACCAAAAGAAGAAGAAGAAGAAGAAGAAGAAGAAGAAGAAGAAGAAGAAGAAGAAGAAGAACGTACTTTCTTTAGTTTCTGTGCGCTGTGCCTTTAACATGGACTCTGACGTCACGGTGCGGTCGGCTTCGATTGGCTGGCTCACTTCCGGGTGTGTGTTGCTCCTGCAGAGCAGCATGGCAGCTGAACCGTGGAACAGAGTAAACATTTCCTTCCCTGGAGCTGTTTCAAGTGTCCGGGTAACTTTCAGCTCAGCTACAGGTACCACCGCAGTTCATCCTAGAACAATATGGCGCGCATCTCACACTGCTGCGTCATGTCGCTTCCAGTCCAGCTGTGCTGTGCTAGTGTGCTAGGCTGTGCTTGTGTGTTGTGCTAGTGCACTGTGCTAATGTGCTGGGCTGTGCGCTTGGCTAGTGCATAGTGCTAATGTGCTGGGCTGTGTTAGTGTGCTGGCGTAGTGTCCTGTGTTATTGTGCTGTGCTAGCGTACTGTGCTAATGTGCTGGGCTGTGCTAGTGCATAGTGCTATGATGTGATAGTGCACTGTGCTAATGGACTGGGCTAGTGTGATGGGCTAGTGTGCTGGGCTAGTGTGCTGTGCTAGTATGCTGTGCTAGTGCACTGTGCTATGATGTGATAGTGTGCTGTGTTGGACTCTGCTGTACTGTGCTGCACCTTCATGTCCTCCCTCGTGTGTGAGCTGTTCATGTGTGTATCGTCGCTGTCTTGCAGGTAAAAATGTTGCAGCTCTGTTGGTTGAAAACGAGAACGTCCTCAAACTGCTCCGCAGTGAGGTTCTTCAGACGGAGGTCCGCGTTCTCTACGAGCTGCTGTACATCCTCAACAACAGCTTCAGGGGAAACAAGACGCTCAAAAGTTTAAAGCAGGTGAGGATGTGTGATCTGCTTCAGTGGGTTTACTGTGTCCATGTTTCTCAGTTGTGTTTCACATCTTGTCTTATCTGCCCCCAGGTTGAACAATGTGTAAACAGGCTGAAGAACATGAAGCTGGACGTGGCTCTTGATGAACTGACTTATCTGTGTCCCAACAGGATTCAAAGGTAGTTAAAACTTGGTTAGTGTGACATGGTGGTTGAGCCATGTATCCTGTCTTTATTGAGTATTCATCGATTTGAATAAACACATATACTTAAATAAACGCCCAACAACAACGTTCTCAGTAAAAGAGAGACTTATCACATACTCTTGAATGTAGGTAATGATCTTGATAAAGAATAATAAATAATAAAATACGACAAAGAGTAGATACTCTTCATACAATATGGAAGAAAAACAAGAATCTACATTACGAAGAATCTTCAAAGATCACTCATCCTTTTCTCACTTACTGTCATCTGTGTTTTTTGGGTAAAACAAACCAAGCAGTGAAAATAAATCAAGCTTCAGTCAGTTGTAGATCCATTTACTATGAGTTGAGGTACTTTCACATCAGCTGGAGACATCTGGGTGTGTTTAAAAGAAAAAAAAAACAATTAACTAAAATTGGGGTGTTAATTTAATCCCAAATAAATCACAACAGAGTACAAAAAATGCTCTTCACTCCAAGTTTAATCAATGTGCTTGGTAGCCTTAGTAATTAAGCAGTAATTATGGGATGTTTGTGCTTGTGTGTGTGTGTTTTTAGAGGACTCGGCATCAAGACTGGTGATTGTGATGTTCCCAGTCAGCCAATGCTGGAGTGGCTCTGTCTCAAAGTGCTGGGAGCTACCCAGCTGATGAGCTGCACGTTGGACCGCTGCATCAGAGCATTCTCGTATCCTTTCCAAATGTGGTACTGTTGTGAAACATGATAGAAATCTTTGAAGATGTGAATCTGTATGTTTGAATTGAGTGTCTGCCTCTTTAATCAATTAAGTCACCTCATGCCCTTAACAGATTTGTTTCAGACTCTCAAATCAGCAGATGAAATTGGAGTTTGTTATCTTGAATTTGGTGATAACCAGCTTGCTCAGTCGATTGTGGTGAGTGTTTGTCCTCATTGTTGAAGTTGGAAGCGGCAGAATTAGAATGTGCACTCTGAATTTGCATTAAGATTTAGAAAAGTGTTTTTTCTCCATCACCACCATCTAAATCCACCCATCTCTGTGCCTCCATCAGGGTGATTTTCCGTGGTGTCCTGGTCAGCCTGTCTACTCTGTACCAGCAGCTCCTGGAGTTCCTCAGAGAAGTCGCCCAAGCTCAGCCCATGCCCTTCCTCACAGACTTCTCCCTGCCCGCAGATGTGGCTCAGCTCCTGAGTCCTTCTCATGCATCGTTACTGATCAAAAGACCAAAGCATGGTGCCCAGGCCAAAGACCACAAGGTGACACAGAAGAAGAAGAAGAAGAAGAAGAGATCTTCTGTTCAAGTCAGTAACAGAGGACAGAAGGGGAAGGTTAAAGAAGACCTGGGCGTGGCTATTCAAAGAGGTGTGGAGCCTTATCCTAGGATTTGTATTTTGTCTGAAACACTTAAATCAGGGGAGTAATATGATACTGTCTTAAAGTATGTGCCTGTTTGTTTCATTCATTCAAGTCAATTAGAAGTGGATAAAGAAACAAATGTCCTACTGTTCTAATATGTTCTTTAAATGTGACAGGTTAGTATAAGGCTGTTATTTTTAATAAGTAATACTGAATACAACTTTTTTTTTCTGTCTTTATTTCCAAGGTTTAGTTCATGACACAGACATGAAGCCATTTCTGGAGGTTTTCAGGAACTTTAAGGAGGTATGTGAGCAAATCGGATGCAGTGTTTATTTACCTGTCAACTGATCATCCAGTGTACTGATCCTTTGACAAATCCTTCCCACAGACACCTAACAAGAAAGACAGGGCACAAAGCTTCAAGAAACTATTGAGAGAAGCGACTTCATTCAAAGACATGGCAGCTTGTCTGGAAGAAAGGATCAGATGGTGTAAATCCCAGCAAAGACAAAAGGAAAAATGTCTTTTAACCTTCCTGCAGTTGAAGTGCCACAAGATGACGTGCCTGGAGGCTGCTGGCTATAAGTAAGAGCAGCACCACACAATAGGAAGTTGTTGAGGTAGAACTACTATGATGAGGTTGCAGTATTAAATATATATTTCTCCTGATCCTCAGTGTCCAGAGGAGGTTGCAGAGCTTCAGACAGGAAGCTCTCTGGGCTTCATCTCCTCGTGGTCCAGCGCCGAGAACCTGCCGCTTCTCTGCTGACCTGAGGATGAACCCTCGCCGGAGAGCACGTTTCCAGTTCCTCAGGAGACAAATAAGGTTGTCAACAATCAAGACTGGTATAAAAAAGAAACACCTGTGGAGCAAGAGTAGAAGGAGGTTTGAGTTATCAGCATCTGGACTGTCAGAGGATGAACAAAGAACCTGGACCACACATAAGGAGACACCTCAGACCACTGACTGTGAAGGCCAAGATGACATAGATGATATTTTTGCCTCTGTAGGTTTGTGACACTTTGAAACAAACTCACTGTGTGCAGCTGAGCTCAGTATGCTCTCGGTCTCATTCCTGTTTTTAAAATAATGAAGCCAAAGAATGTTGAGTTGGGATGTGCTGGTTGGTTTAAAGGTGAGAGTCTGGTGCAGCTCTGACCGCATCCACCATCACAACAGGGATGTGGCTTGATTTAAAGACCTCAGTCAGTAAAAAAGGTTTTAACTGGTGACACTTGCAATATAGGAGTTTGTGCCTTAGTTATAATAAAACCTTTTTATTATTGATCCTGTGTCTGAGTTACATGTTGCCAGGGATCAGTTGAACTCTTCATGGTTATCAATTTCTAATAACAGTGTTTAAGCACTTTAAATTTAGAAATTTAATGGTAAATATCATATTAGGACACAAACCTCCCATCTGCAAGAAGAAAGGATTTTCTGATATTTACAAAGTGCAGGATGTCAATGCAGAAAGGTTTTAAATGCCTGTTGACTATAATACAAAATGTCTGCATAAGATGTGTATTTACATTTATCTGGATATGACATAAATGACATGGACGTGTGAGAAGGAATAAAACCAGTACAATACTTCAAGGTTTTTACTCGTAACGTTTAGTCTCTGAGACTGTAATAACTAATAACAACATATCAACTCAAGATGAATGCTGAAAATGTAAAGGATTAAATTAAGATGACTGTACTCACTAACACAGTGTAAACATGATGATAGCAACTCAGTGAGAAAAAATACTAAATAAACTCAGCTCAGTAATAAGTTAAAAATATCTTGGTCATTGTATGGGATGACAGATGAGGATATCTACAGCCATGGTGATTGCTCAAGCAAATATTGTATGCAGGTTTAGTTGGTGCACAGATGGAGTGACTATGTCAGAGTATATTGCACATATTGCCCTGTACTGCCCACCTGTGGTCAAACTACAAAAAAGCAAGCTGACAGAAACATGGAGGTGCTAACTATGATTCTATGAGATTATTACTGAAGAGACTGTCGAGTGCAAATGAAAGGTTTGTGAGGAGTCCACACTCTCAGCTCTGCCCTATGAAAGCTCATGCGACTAAATGTCATCATCTTGGTTTCATCAAATTAGGTTTACTACTCATTTCCAATCCTTACTGTGGAGGCATTAATATTTATATATTTTGTATGTATCTCAATCTGTGTTGTGGTGGGTTTTATTTTGATCCTGAGTCTGAATAACAAAAGTAATCATTATCATCATCATGTCTCAACAATTAAGATCTTTATAGCCATTACTTATTACAATTTAATTTTACAAAAATTTTAGAGGAACAGCTTGATAAGAAAGTTTGAAATTTAAAATAAAAATTGAAATGCTTGTCTAGACAGAGGGTGAATATTCATGGCATTAAATTGTAAATGAGGCTATATAGCACACAGGGAAATATGTTTCTTAGATCTATTTATATATATATATATATATATTTATGTAATTTATTTAAACTCTCAGTCCCCAGTTCAACACCTCTTAGAAATTGAATTCGTTTTCTGAATAAGAAGTGTTCAGACAAATTATTAAGATCTGTTCTAACTAATGTTTTTTATCTAGATCAATCTGGCACAATAATATTTTAAAACTGCTTCTAATTTGAGAAAGAAATTCTTTAAATACTCGGTTACACTATAAAATAAAGAATGATTTTTACCCTTACCCCTGAGAGCAATGAAGGTCTTTAAATGTACAGAACATATCTTTATTTTAGGCTCTCAACTCAATTGTTCTGAAGACAATTCATGGAATGGTTAAACAGCAAAACCATATGATGCCTGTTGTTGAACATTATAGTATTAAATTTGGTGTCGTATTAAAGGACAAGAAAACGTTTGTTCCAGTCTATACACAGTCTGATCGATATCACATGAAATGTTCTGGTGCACCAGACTGGAACGCTTGTTTCATTTGAATGCACATAAGTTGGCTAACTTTGTTTCTAAATCTTGGAAAATAACATCAGGATGGTTTATTTGTTTAGTTTTATTACTGATGCTGCTAATCAGCTGCTGTTTTTTAAATGTACGTTGTCCTTATATACATAATGCTTACACCTGTTTCAGGCTGCATTAGCACATAATGTGCATGACAAAAAATACTATACTCTAGAGTACATAAAGTGACCAACCGAGTGTGAGTATGTACTGTACATCTCTGTGGGCTGCTGAGGCCATTGAGGGGTCTTCACATTCACTAACCGTGGCCATTTTTAGACCACTGTTAGCCACTTATAAATCGATATGGTGCAAATTGTGAGAGTTCAATTTGTTGTTAGTTAGCAGTCATCAGATGGCAAATGTTGAAATAAACTTGTAATTTGAGAATCAGTTGTATAACTCAGAAAAACTCTGAACTAACATAATTGGCGGCTTTGGTACATGGGTCTGAAATGGATCCATTATGATTTTTGTCTCTCTCAGCTCTGCATCATTATCCGGCTGCAGCAGCAAGTCGTCAGTACTTATGGTGGCAGGACTGTAGACTGTGAGACATTGCGTCTGTCCACTTCTGTCAGCCGAGAGATATCTAATAGGACATGATTGTATACAGGTGGTTCCACACACTCGGCTTAGTGCTGAAGTTGCACATATATTTATTGGGATGGATGGCTCTCCAAGGATTCTGCAAATGCATCAGTGAGGGCCTCTGGCATAATATGACCTAAAATAAGAATACGCAGGTCTGCAACCTCAATTCGCTGTTCTTCAGTTTATTGTCCTGCCTTCTTAATAGCAGCAGGGGAATGGAGCATTGACATGTACATTTTTAGGTTCTGTATGGAGCAGGACTTAGGGAACAGAAATACTCAGAGGTGTATACAATCACTACACCATTACCTCCACAGAGACAGGGAAATGAAAAGTGGGCTCACAGTGGCAAATCCTGGTGTATCAACATTTATTCTTCTCAGCCTGTAGTCCCCAATAGATCAATGCTTTGAGTTAACACAATGAATAGAATGAGGGCAAACAAGTATAGATTGAGTGAAGTGTCAAAATCCTCATTAAGGCCTGAGGGGGACACTAAATATATAAACATGTCCAATGCAATTATTTTTTCTGTCTACAATGGGTGCAAGCCACAAATCCCTGTACATTTAATTTGTTAATTACATCAAGAAATACTCTCTATGTTGTGATATCATGTCCACACATAGTAGATTTAAGCTTCCAATTACGGTCGTCAATTGAGTTTAAATCTCCTCATGAAATTAATTAGGTTTTGTAGGTTGTGCTTCTCATTTTATATATATCAATGCATTGTATTTTATCCAAGTCAATATAACACAAATTCTTTACTCACATGTATGTTCAAGACTGATGCTCTTTTTATGTCCACGCCCAAGAACATATGTGAGAAAAAGCCTCCAGAGCATTAAAAAAGCCTGTGTACAAACTGCCCCTCATCAGTCCCTTACACTAGAGAACTGAGACCTGACACATACTGTATATGTATATGTAGAATGGCTCCATTCCCCTGCTGCATTTGAAAGAAGATAAAGTAACATGCCTGATGTGCAGACCTTTATACTCTTTTTCACATTAGAGGCCATGTGGGCTCACCTGGTTTACTGAATCTGTTGGGAGAGGAGAGCACGGTGACAAGTTTTTACTCAACTCTACAAATGACCCAAAACAGCCCCCAGTTGTACCATTAGCATCCAACCATTTATTTTCAATTCTAACATATTCTCCTTCAGGGTCACAGTGTGTTCTATTATAGTATTGCAATAAAACATTGCATTGCCTGTACTGTCAGACACAGTAGATTACATTTACTTTACGCCAGGCTTCATTTTAATGTCAACATGGGTCTTATATGTTTAACACTGTCTTTGAAACTGAACCTGTCTTATTGTTGATCTCTTCTCTATAGCGATGATTTTAAGAGAAAATAAAATCTGTAAAATATGATGTTCAATCAAAATAATGTAATACAGAAAGAGATTCTGGTGTATTTCTACAAGATGTCTGTTTCTACATGTCTGTTCAGATAATATCATTAGATAACATGCTGTGAAATCCTATATTATGCCAACAAATAAATAAAAATTTATTACATGCTCATTGGCTGTGACTTGCAAAAGGCAGGCGGAACCAGGCATCAGCTATTTGTATAATATAGTAGGACAGTTTTATTTGCATTTTTTAAACGGTAGCAACTCTTAAAGCTTTTACAAGTGCTAATGCTTAGTCAAAGATTAAGGTTCATTGTTTTATATAGTTTTATTGTTAAAAGGACATATCAGTGGTTTGACATTAACCCAGTTTACGATATTAAATCTCACAGCTGCCCATTTTACAAGCTCTGTCGCTAACATCCGGATATAGGGATGTGTACTGTAACAATCTATACAGCCAGTGATTTCTATTAATTAATGCAAAAATCAAAATCACTTGGCTCACTCATGAAATATGCCTCCGTTTAAAGGGTAAGAGGCACAATCATTTAATTTGTTGATCAATTTATTAATTCAATGGCAGAACATTAATCTACAGGTATTTGGATTTTCCACAATTCAAGTAGTTTTATTAGCAAAAGGGTTTCAAAGGCCTTTTCGTAAGTAGAGTTAAAAATATTATAATATATAATTCCTAAAATTACATGTATGGATAAACAAAAAGCTAAATGATTCATACTTTTATGATGTGAAAAATAAACGTACCTTCTTTTTGTTTTGGAATGAGAGAAACATTACACATTCTTTGAGAACACTGTCAGTGACAAATCTACTAAAGATTGCCACAATGTTGTGGTGTGGGGACATCAACAAACAAAGATGCAACACAGTTTCCTGGTGGTACTTATAAATTTGATTATGTCTCTTTTGAATTTCCCCATGATTGGCAGGGCAATATTTGTAAATAATTCTGCCATTATCTTATTCACAATCAGGTATTTATGAGCAATCATCCAGACTTTCTTGCAGACGATGTAATTTCATAAAACTCTCCAGTATCATATTACATGCTATAATATGTAATATTACATATATAMTATTTTCTTGTTTCATTTTATTTCATTTATGCCTTGCAGTATTATTCATGTCATGGTCACTTACTCTTGCAATATTACTTATATTATGGTCACTTTATATCACAATACTTTTGATATCATGCCACTCTTTTATCCTCAGTACCTTTTTGCACATTGTCTGTTTGCAGTTTGATTGTTTTCTTTATATTGTGTAGGTTACAGAAATTTCTGTCTGTTTTTTTTTCTGTGATTTTGCCTTTTCAACTTTAATTTCAATAGAGTATGCTACACTTTCTTTCTGCTGCTGTAACAAGTAAATGTCCCTGTTGTGGGATGAATAAAGTATATCTAATCTAATCTAATAATTTTAGCAATTAAAAAAAAGAAAAAAACTTCTTTATTAGAATCAAAGAGTGGATATTACAAAGGTCAATACAAAAACAGCACATAAAACCAGAGTGAGTATAAAAAGAAGAAAAAAAATGATGACAGGCCTTTCTAAATACAGTCCCATGTGATGCTGTCGGCACTTCCGGTCATGTGTAGCCTCACATCCGGAAGGTGGGGCTTTTGTTGCAGGAGCGGTTAGTATCAGGGAAGTCGATGAGTCCAAATCCACTATTCATGCAGGCGTCCAGATAACATCCACCAGAGACACGGGGTACTGAGGTAAGACTCCACAGACGTGTCCCCGCGGACACACGTGTGTGTTTGTTGACGAGACCTTTAGAGAGCGATAGTAAAACCCTTCACCTGCTTTAAGGAGCGAGCCCACGGACACAGGGACAGACACAGAGAGAGAGAGAGAGGGGGACAGGGATAAAATGGGTGCAACACTTGGTCAGTCGTGGTTAGCTTTCGTTATCTGCTCATTCTGCTCATGTTCAACGGACCCAGCATTAGCGTCAACATTAGCCGGCATGCTAATGGTCATTTCTCGTCAGGTTAGCCAGCAGGCACCGTTTAACTCGGTGTTAACTTCTGCTTTAACCTCAGACCACTCGGTCCGTGTAAAGGGGGTGTTAGTGATGTGTGAGTGTGTTCTCTTTCATTCTAGAAATAACTGTTTATCTGAAGAGTGTTCATCGGTGATGGTCCGCTCCTGTTATTGTCCAGCGGCGCACACATGACTTCCCCTGCGTGTTTGACAGCTGTAACCCACAGACACGTTCACTGGGTTCACTTATAACAGCGCTACGCCTGATTACTAGATCCAGTGGACTGTGGTGTGTGTGTGTATGTGTTTAGATGGAGAGGATTACTCTGTTTATTTAGTGTTCCCTCTTGAGAGGACACACCCAAACTGGCTCAGGGTTTCTCCAGCTGTAATTCTAACTGTCAACAAAACGCCCAGCCTTATAATAATAATAATGATATTATAATAAACTTAATTTATACAGCGCTTTTTAAAAACAGAGCTTACAAAGTGCTTTGACGACAAAGCGAGAAATGTCAGTTCAAACTTGAACACGTAAAAACAGTAAAATGACAATACAAATAAGTGAAGGGAAGTTATAAAAAAAGAGGGGGGGGGGGCGATAAAATCAGTATATCTCATGGAAGCAAGTCCATAAAAATGGGTTTTAAGAAGTTAAAAGAAGAAGTTGTGACTCTCTGGTCATAATGACAGTGAACACACTAGTAAAGCAGTTATTTTAATGTAGCACAATGCTGGTATATCTCATATAAGATGTCCTTTATATGTCTAATCCACAGAAATAAATCATGGAGTTAGATCTGTTATGTATTTACATCCGTCCTGAGTGATCCGATCACAAGTGGTCAGGTTTAAGTGCAGGGCTGTATGCACCCAAATGCATCCTGGGTTCTGATCACAAAAAAACACATTCAAAGGTGGTCTGGGACGCATGTTTCCACTATCTTCTCGCTGTGTAAACGCAGATGCATCCTGAGCCACAAAGGAAATATCTCCCTCTCAGATGACGTCCTCTGACCCCAAAGTTTAACAATAAATCAAACATATTTTTGTACGTTGGTTTGTTTGTGGCCACTTCCACAGTACCAGCACTGATCACCACATAATGACTGGTATTTTTCTTAAATTTTTTTTTTTTCTTCTTCATAGCTGCGTGCATTCATTCACTCAGTCCCTCCTGACTCAGCTCACTCTCTTTCTCTCTCTCATTCATTTAGACACACACATTGTCATCTGTAACATATGTAAACATCTGTGTGAACACACACTTGTAACACTGTCCAATTTTAATGACATCTCTCAGGACAGATGTTAATACCAAGTCTGAACAGAAAGTCTGAAGTAGTCAACAGAAAGGTCAAAGTAGTATAGAGATGTAAATGTTTAGGCAACAAAGTCAACTTTCTGTGAGTGATGTTTACATATATACACTGTCCTGTGAGGGTGCAGGGTGATGGACATGTATTCTGTGTTTACTGATGGTCCGGTTTGCAGATGGGTGTAACCTTTTCACTTCTTATCACCCCTGTTCTTGTTTGGATATAGATAAAGGAGGTTAAGGACAGTGGTCCATCAAATTAAAGCTTTTTCAACGCAAGATATTTTTTTAAATTTTTGCATTTTCATCTGTAGCGTGTTGTTTGTGTTTATTACAGTCCTGTCAGGGTCACAGACACAACACAACAACAAATACTAGTATGTTATTATCACTGTTATATGATCTTTTCTCTGTTGTATTAGAATTCACCTGGGGCTAAAGTTTTCATCACTCAGGCTATATCATAATCACTAAGGTTTGTTTGTTGGTGGCTGATTTCACAGTACTCAGACATAAGTTATGTGAAGTGCATAGTGTCAGTATTCTCTCAGAATTAGTGAATATAGCTGTCGTGTGCGTGTGAGGTCTCCTACATTTTAGAGTAATAAACTTGTCATGTGTATCCTCAGCTTTATGTTCATTGTTGAGTGTTTGCTTAAGTTGTTTGTTTGGTGAGCTAGAATCAAGTCAGCCATTAACATGTCTGGAGTTACATGTTGTCAACCCCTCGTTAAATGTTATGCTAAATGCTGATTCAAGCACAATCGCAACATTTTCAGGGAAGTACCTTCAGGAATTGTTCTAGAGCTCCGGTTTTTTGATGAGGTGTTTTCTATAACTACACCATCCAAGTATTTAGGGTTTTCCCTACAGCACCATATAATTATTTCTCTCACAAACTAAAATTTCACAGTATTCAGGAAAAAGCCTAAATCAACATTTTGACTGTCACCGGAAGTTAAAACCCTCCAGTGAAATCCAGGCTAATACAACAGGTCAGTGCCTTGATTGACTTGAACCAACTTTGGCCACATTTTTACCTCTTAAAGCAAAAACAACAACACAGCAGGACTGTATCTGAGCCTGTCAAAGTGCAGGTGTTGCGTAGTTGTAGACCTATAGTAAGTGGTGATGTCAGTGGGGGAGAGATTTTGCGAATGAGGCTGAACTGGCCCTGCATTCCTCCTCCTTCACTCTGAAGACTCTCTGGATGTTTATTCCTATGCCCCAACCTCGTCCTCACTTGAATGATTTTCATAATGCTAAGCCCTGTTCCCTGCTATTGCCTCAGCTTATCAGGATATGGAAAACATTTTCTGCATATAATTTCCTTTGTTTTGGACACAATCTAGCTGGCCCATATCAAAGAGCTCCATCTGCTTTTATGATCAGTTTTTCATTTTCTGATGAGGTTCCCTAATGACCTGGGCTCTTGGTGCGTAACGGCACTGGAGTCAGAAAACCATCTGCTAATGATGTTGGCAGTGAAAGTGAAGGGCAAGGGCACACAGACCAGTGCAAGGCCTTTTTTACTGGACTTATAAAGTGAGTGATAATCTGTAGGGGATGGTAGATGATGTAGATAAGTGCATACCAGGCCGCCATCAATTGTCTGCCGCCTGTCAGCAAGGAGGAAGGGAGGGTTACATATTTCGTGTGACTGTGTCAGTTAATTACTATTTGAACCATGCAAGAGGAACTAAAATAAGTGTTGCCTCTGTGCAGAATGCTGAATACACTTGGTGTTGTTGAAAGTGTTTTTGCTCATCCAGCAGATATTTGCAGATCCCGACAATCATTTGACAGAATAAAGGCTATTTTCCACAATATTTGTTTGACAGGTACATATAGGAGAATTATTGTAGTTTTCCTTTTTGTTTGTTTGGTATTCGTAAAAAGGTAAAAAAGGAAACCAAGAAAAATATTAATCTTAAAACAGAGAGAATCCTGCTGTCTTTAGCAATTTTAAAGTTCAGCACAATGATTTTTATAACTGCATTTACATTAAAATTGTGAAATCCCAACTCTTGTTCAAGATCTGTGAATAAGAAAATTACATACGCCCCTCCTGAGAATCAATTACTTTAAATGTAGACAGATCTTTTTCTTCCCCCAAGGCAGCCAATTTGATGCACTGGCATATACAGTAGTTATGAAAGCAATGAAAAACAGAGCATCCTGTTTCTTTCTGAAAGAGGAACAAGCTGTGCAAATATTTATTTGCAGAACACTATGATAACTCAACTTTTTTAGATGCATCAATTCCCCTTTACCCACTGCTGGCATCCAGTGAGTAGAGCCTGTTGGTGAGGAGGCTAACTGTGAAGGGTGTGTTTGTCTTCTTAGAAAATATAGTCACGTATCATGGAGTCACAAAGGAATGTCAAATATACCACGAGAGCACAAGAACTCAGTTTGAGACTATCTTTTCTCCTATGTGTTTATGAGAGAACAATTATTCATGGGGGGGAAAATAATAAATAATGTAGTAAGTCGATGCTATAATCAACTTGACTGTATTATATTCATGTGATGTACAATATGTTATGGAATGTTGTAGTGACCAAAGATTAATGGCCGTTCAAAAGTCCAGCTGATGAATACAAAATTGTGGTTAAGAGTTTTTTTATTTCTCACTTCACGTGACTTCTTTTGAATACGTGTTTGTAATATTATTTATAATTAATATTATGAAGTGCATGTTTCAAACGTGATTCGAGTTTGAACAATTCAAAACAGGGTTGCTGTGGCTCAGGAGGTAGAGATAAGCAGAAGGTTGGTGGTTAAATCCCTGGCTCCTCCATTCCATGTGCTGAAGTTTCCTTGGGCAAGACACTGAAACCCTGATGGCTGAATCGGCAGTGTGTGAGTGAAAAACATGTGCACATAGATGCATTGTATGAATGTGTGTGTGAATGGCAAAACTATACCGTAAAGCACGTCGAGTAGTCTACAAGATAAGAAGAGCACAATATAAATACAGACCAATTACAAGTTCATGTCCATTGTGGTGCCTCGGCGGTAGTTAAAGATAAGCATGGCTTGAAAATGATGAGCAGTAACCTTCATGTATGCAATGTTAAATCAGCTTGTCATTACTCATCTGGCAATGTCAACAGCATGCTAACACGACTTTATCTTGCTAGTATCCTGAGGCTGCAGACTGAGATTGGGTATGGATATTTGAAATCCCTCTCATCTGCACCTGCACTCTGAACATTTGCTGTGCTCCTTCAGACAAGGACACCCTTTCACAAACATGCAATGAGAGGTTTGTCTCAGCCCATAAATGTATTCTTGTGTGCCCATTCACCATATGTTGAAGCTGGTGACAAAGAAGGGACCCCTGCTTTCTTATTATGTCTGCTGTGTCAAAGCTGTAGGCTACAGTATGCTCTGTTGTCCCAGGATGTA